TGTTCTACATTTTAAAATTAATTTTTATTGTCATTGAACTGAGGTGGCTTTTACTTGATGAAAATCCATTTATCAAAATCAACAAGAACTAAAAGTTCAGATTTTCACGAAATTATATATTTTCAAATGACAATTGTTTCGACAACACCGTGTCTTTATCATCTGATAAAGACACAGTGTTGTCGAAACAATTGTCATGTCAAAATATATAATTTTTATATAAAAACTTGGCCACCATCCTAAATCAGTATATTAAGCGAAACTTTTCTACTGCTGAATAAAAATTCGTTTGACACTTTATTCTTAAAGAAACCCCTAATAGGCCTTCTCAATATTTGATACGAAAAATTAGTCCCAGTAAGCCATGACTTCAGGCTGATGTAATAAAAAACAAAAGATTATAGTGCGTTTTTCACAGACCTATCCAACCAAAAAAAAATCCAAATCGACACATAAACAAAGATTTCACAAGGGTGTACGTTTCCTAAGCGGGACATGCTGTATATTATACATTTTCAAATCAATTTTTATTGTCATAGGGTAACTATGACAATAAAAATTAATTTTTATTGTCATAGTTACCTTCTCTTCCAATATTTTATTAAAAAACTTGGACACAATTCTAAATCAGTATATTAAGCGAAACTTTCTAGTGCTGAATAAGAATTCGTTTGCAACTAATACTTAAAGAAATCCCTAATAGCCCTTCTCGATATAGGACACCAAAAATTAGTACCAGTTAGCCTTGACTTCAAGTTGATGTAATAAGAGGCGTAAGGTTTCAGTGCGTTTTTTACAGGCCTATTCAACGAAAAAAAAATCAAAAACGACCCATAAACAAAGATTTTACCGGGGTGTACAGTTCTGAAGTGGGATACACTGTATGTTCTACATTTTAAAATTAATTTTTATTGTCATTGAACTGAGGTGGCTTTTACTTGATGAAAATCCATTTATCAAAATCAACAAGAACTAAAAGTTCAGATTTTCACGAAATTATATATTTTCAAATGACAATTGTTTCGACAACACCGTGTCTTTATCATCTGATAAAGACACGGTGTTGTCGAAACAATTGTCATGTCAAAATATATAATTTTTATATAAAAACTTGGCCACCATCCTAAATCAGTATATTAAGCGAAACTTTTCTACTGCTGAATAAAAATTCGTTTGACACTTTATTCTTAAAGAAACCCCTAATAGGCCTTCTCAATATTTGATACGAAAAATTAGTCCCAGTAAGCCATGACTTCAGGCTGATGTAATAAAAAACAAAAGATTATAGTGCGTTTTTCACAGACCTATCCAACCAAAAAAAAATCCAAATCGACACATAAACAAAGATTTCACAAGGGTGTACGTTTCCTAAGCGGGACATGCTGTACATTATACATTTTCAAATCAATTTTTATTGTCATAGGGTAACTATGACAATAAAAATTAATTTTTATTGTCATAGTTACCTTCTCTTCCAATATTTTATTAAAAAACTTGGACACAATTCTAAATCAGTATATTAAGCGAAACTTTCTAGGAGACAGAAATAAAAAGCTCCAGAAACAGCGGCGGCGCCGGTGGAAGCGCTAGCGGATGCGCTACACTCGGCTACGATGGTCGCGCTCGAGCTTGGCTTCTCGAAGAACGACTTCAATTTATCGACAGCTACGGATTCGTTAATTTTTCCCTTATCATCGACGATACCCAGTTTGTTGTACATGCAAAACATGTGGTCGTTGAAATTGCTGGGAATCTTAACCTCGGAAGGCTTCTTTTTCTCGTACTCGAGTTCCTGGAAGACCGTCATGTCGGAGATGAGGTACTTCGAATCCGCTTGACATTCTTGGTGGACTTTAAAGTACTCCGCAGTGTATTGGGGAGCAGCCTGCAAAAGTTTGCAATAACGCGCATTGGGATTATGACATTTTCTTAATGGAAAAGTATTTTTACAGGAATCGAGGCACTGCACTGTGGAACACACGACATTGGGCAATACTAAAAGTGACTCACAGTCTGCTCTGTACCTGCTTATACATGAGTCGCGGTTAAGATTGTTTGATTGGTTAGTTGGTTAGTCTACGGATTCCAGGATTTTTGCTTGGTAGAAGAATTGATTACATTCAAGAATGTTATTGTGGTCGGCAACTGCTGATGAGTTTATTTGTCGTAGTCTTAACACTCTTTCATACCCTTTTAGCCTAGTTGATATTTTTTCAGCTGTTTCTTCAATGTATTCCTGGACGCACATGCATCGAATGCTGTAAACTCCGGTTTTTGTTGTTGAGACTGTAAGGAAGCATCACAATGACAAATTGCTTTCGGCCTTATTTTCTTTGCAGGGTTAGTATCTCTAATGAGAAAATTGGTTTCAAATAGTTTTACGACCCTGTAGACGTTGATAACCGATGATTTCAGGCCGGGGTCTGTGTGCAAAGGTTTTCCGTAAACGGAACGCACTAATGCTAGATCTGGTATTCCATTAAACAATTCAATAGTCGTCCGAGACCATGTCCATGCTCCTCGTTTAGCTCCGCCCTCCCAAACAGTAAATAAGTAGATACAGAGTAGAATACGAGCCAGTTTCAATTAAGCCTTGAAGAAGCCCACAGGATGATAATCGAAACGTCAGCATTATCGATTTATCAAAAACCGACTGAGGAAGAATTAAGATTTGTAAATATTTCAATATTTCTTACATCATCATTTGAAAAAACACAAAATTTGGTAGGATGGTAAAACTGCATCTCTAATGCTAATGCGAAATAATATAATGTTTAAAAAAAAATTTGGCATCTAAAGATTTACAAAAATAGTATTCCATTTTTCGAAAAATTTTCTGTAATGTTAGAAAAATAATATAAAAACGAAATACTACAAGTTGTCTTCAAACTCATCCGAAATATTAAAATGCTAATAGTACATAGTAAAATTCTTCACTTAATACTACTTAGATTTAACGAAACTTAACTTAGTCCAAAAGTTTATATTAACCGAGGTACAGGGTGTCAAAGTTGCAAGTTCTTTTTCGATTTTTTTTAAATAATTCCTGAAATGATCCAGATTTTTACAAAAAAAAATTCATATCTGGATTTTACTTCTTAGATATTTTTTACGCAGAAAAGAGAATTTCGCAATTGACATTTTCGTTGCTTCTAATAGTTCGAAATAGGTATAAAAGACTGTAAAATGGTACGAACTGGGCTCTGACTGTCACAGACCCGATAAAATACCTACAATATGTTTCAAAGTAGGCATTGACTAAAACAAATGCGATTAAAGTACCAAGATTCTGGTGAATTTACTTGCTGTTTGTTAGTATCTTGGGTGTGTTTAAAAACTTTTTTATCAGTGGTGTTGTGTTACTATTCCGAAAATGCCAACTTGATTTCACGAGGGAATTGTTATGGGCGAAGGCGAAGGCGCAGTTCATAGTCGAGATGAATTATGGCATAGGTTTGAAAATCGCTCTTCGTGAAATCATTTTGAACATTTACTGCGGAAAAGGAATCTATTTTTTAGGAATAGTTTTTGTATTTTACTCTATAATTCTCTAAAATTTGCCCCAAAATTATTAAGAAAAATGGTTTTCTCATATTAAAAAACCCCGATTTGCCAAATTTTGCGCCAAAAACTTGATTAATTTAGGAATTATTTCAAAACATCAAATCGCTCAGCTCTCGGTTAATATCAATTTTTGGAGTTTTTTTTCCGTAAATCGTAATATTTTTACCTAAAAAATCTCCTATTTTGCAAGGTACCATTACTTACTGTTACTTATGTTACTTATTATGTATAACGCTATGTAATATGTAATTTAAATTTAAGTTCGATAGCGAATAATGAATATTTAACATTCTGTAAAAAAATACAACAAAAATATTGACTCGGTATAACTCTTTGATAATTAAATAGTATCTAGAATTTATATCCATAATATTGTTTTCATTTTTAACATTCATAACAGACTTGTTCAACCTATAAGTCCTTTTTAAATAGTGTGATACTATAGTTAAAAAAATTGTTGTTTATTTATAAGATCTAGTATAAGGCGCTTTTTGCTTTATGGTACATTGCATTATTCATTGGTTTTCCTTAGTGATTAGATCTATATAGATTAATTTGAATGCTGGAATGATATCTACGAAGAAAACTTCACAAAAAATAATCAATTTTAAAAAGCCATGGTAGCTTGGACATTATTTAAAAAAACAAATTTGGGTAATATTTTTAACGGGTAGAGATGGTAAAATAGATTTTCGATTTCTAAAAATCAGTTTTATATTTTATATTTAGCCCCATATTCAACATTTAACATGGACTCGTATGTATGTGTGTATCAAGAGGAGTTTCTCGTCCATGTCTATCGAGGAGGACCTACAGCGGCGATTCATTTATTGTTGAAAATATATAGAATACTGAGAACGAAATAATGCTTGGTGGCAAGTACTTGGTGCTGTGCACCGTAATAGATTAAGCCAAATAAACGTTTTTACCCATTACCAGGGGCGTACGAGAGGGGAAAGTGGCTGGTTGACCTTCCCTAAATTTGGTGGCGGAATTGCCATACTTGAATAACGTAAAGTTTCTTGACAATTATTTTGATGTCAACCGGTAGGATTGTATCCATTGCCGAAATGAATCTATAATTAGTGTAAACAAAAATGAATAATAATATTAATTACAAGTTACAATTAAAAGCAATGTGGTTCTCGAACCATTTGGTTATAAATTAATTACTGCAGCCTCAATATTTCCTATTTTTAATGAATCTCCCTATAAATAACACTTGCGGGCGAATTTAATGCAATCATGTATGAAAATTTCTATATACATACAAAAAAGACAGTTCCTGGTCATATTTATATGACATAAAGTACATTAGTAAAAATTAAAACAATCAAATTTCAAAAAAAAAAAAAAAAATAAAATAAAATTTCCGTTACAGTTTTCTCAAAACAAATTTTCGGGAAAAACAAGAAATATTATAGAATTATACTTACCACCACGTATCCCAACAGGACTGTACAAACAAGAATTGTTGTTTTCATTTTGCTTACGTAGTAGAATTTATATAAGCTTTGGTAAATAGTTTGTCAAACTGCCAATTTATATACATGCTAGGCGGACAAGATTATGAAGCCGTAAGTGTTTTGATATTGCAATAGGCCAGATAATCTGATGGTAAGTGTTTTGCAACTATTGTTTCCTATAATTTTCTAATTCACAAAGTGCAAATCGTGAGATGCGATGCGAGATATTTATATCCATTTGTCACTGTATTGATTTGGATGCAGATAACGTAAAATTTTTATCCCAGACCTCGCCTGAAGGTGCAAACACGACCACCACCGAGCATAGAGTCTGATATGTTTTGTGTGTTATAACGCATAAGCATGTTATGTAGAAATCCTATTCCACATCCTGTATGAAGCCGAACAAAATGTGGGGCTCTGTTTGTATGTGGTTTAAGACCTGTTGTTAAACCATTTAGAAAACCATCTCTGAGATCTATTATGCAATTGTCACTCCAAGCATAATTGAAGCACATTGACCCAACCCTCAACCAAATTGATGATATTACAACATGCGACCACGCCTTACATATTCAAAACTTATAACTCTAGCAGGTGCATTATCGTGGTGAAAGAACCAGTCCCCTGACCGCCACAAATCGGGTATTTTTTGTCGAATACTGTTGCGCAATCTTCTTAAAACTTCCAGATAAAAAGCGTGATCAACGGTCTCACCTGGTGGAACGAATTCTGCATGAACTACGACATTGATGTCGAAAAAGCAAATCAGCATCATTTCAGACAGTGACGTCTTCCATTGGCTGGACTGCTGCTTCGTTTCTGGATCGTAATCATAGCACCATGACTCGTCACCCGTAATGATCTTTGAAAGAAAATCTGGATCCGTTTCAAGCTGTCAGAACACGAGGAACAAACTTGGCAGCAACTCTTTTCATTCCCAAATCTTCGGTTAAAATTCGCTGAACCGTGCTCCAAGACAACCCACTAATCTTTGATAATAGTTCAATTGTCTGTCGACGGTCTGTCTTTTCAATATTTTCGTCGATTCGAGCTGTTGATGGACGTCCAGAACGAGGTCGGTCATCAATTGACCCGTCGCCATTTTTGAAGCGAACAAATCACTGATACGCTTGAGTTTTTCCCATCGCATCGTCTTTATAAGCTGTTTTTAAAATTGAAACAGTTTCAGAAAACAGCTGCACGTTGTTCTTTTAAACTTGCCATCGAAAAAAACCAAATAACAAAAAAACAGCGTTAACAAAAAATGGCGCTGCGAGTGAACAAAACAAGTTAAATTTAAAACGAAGGTGGCGTTGAACTCGCAAGCTCTGCGCGCGGCAATTCAATTCCGGTTTTTTATGGGTACCCCCTGGTACATTGCAATTAAAGTTGGCGGAATGATTTTGAGAAAGAAATCGTTATGAACAATTTGTAAACTGTTAAAGCCTCCATCTTATGCCAAATCATGAGATTGTTCTGTTCCGCTTCTTTCTTTAAAAATTTTTTCGCTAACACTACTTAGCTGTGAAACTTCACACACAGCAGCACTTAAACTCAACTTTGCATTATTAACTCAACCAGCGCTGTGATGATTAAAAGGTTTTATCGGGAAAATAACCGAACTAATTACAACTATCGACAATTTTTTCATCAAAATTACTCCCTAATCGTTAATGCAAATTAGGATGTTGAAATGACTCATATATTAGATGGGATGGGATTAGATTTCACAACTAACTAGAGAAAAGCCTTGGTTCAAATAACATTTATATGCTATTATTTAGGCACGAAGTGCAAAATAATATAATTGTTGCGTTTATATTATTTTGCAGTTGCATGGAAACCAAATTTCTGTATCCCTATATTACGCAGCAATAGGTAGAAAGTTCTTTCAAAAATGTGTTCTATTTGATTAGTCCAGGTTAAATGGAATAGAAATAGACACCTAGAAATCTGACTACTAATATAGTTTTGTTATTCAATCTAACTAAAAGGCTTTTGTTTAAATCCCTGCAAGATAACACAAGCAACTTCATTTTCTACGAAGTCAAACTAAGATTACGTTGGCATTGGTAATGTTACCTAACTCTTCGAACCGGCTTCGATTCGGAAATACAACCATTATTACCATGTTTATGCTTTTCTGCTTAACTTCTATCAGTCGAAATAGTATATTATGCAACAAGTGCGGTAAACGGCATTTGACTCGGGAATTTATTTGACACGAGCGGAGCGAGTGTTTAATAAACCAATGACTTAAAAATTTTACCGAATATGTTGCATACTATACTTTTTCTACGATCGCCAGTTTTTGGATACATTTTCGCAAAACAACACGAATACAAAGGTCAAAATTCAATATAAACATCCGATTGCTCCCAAACCCGTGCGGTATAATCCCGCAAATGTCCGAAGTGGCTCGGATCCGTGGTAAAGTGACGCTTCCCGTGCACTAGATCCGTGTGTATTTTACAGACGGGACTAGAAAAAATTTATGGATGCATTAGCGACCTCTCTCGGCGTTGGGACAAAATAGTTGAATATATGACTAATTTTATAGTCACATAAACAAGGAGCAAAAATCTGGTATTCTATTAGGTATTCAAGCCCAAAAAAAATTCAAGATTAAAATATCTCCATCCGTAATTATCTATACAATATAATCAATTCCCGTCAGCTATATTTTCAACGGTATCTCAAATAATCAACAAATACGATGTATGACTAGCGTTTGCTAGATGGTGCTTGTATCGGAACCTTAGTTATATTTTGGAGGTTATTGAATTTGGCCTTATTCCCACGCTACTCCCACCTTTTGGGAAGTGCTTTAACGGTATACTGGTTACGAATGTATGTATGTATATATATATCTCGTCTTTGATTCCCAATTTCTTATTCCATGACATTCAATATAAAGGGTGATTCAGGTTGAATGTCCTATTAGAAATTCCGGAGAACTAAATAGGTTTCTTTTTCCAAATTCGGTAGCAGACCATATTACAACATGATCTTCTGGAATATTTACGCACCTGCAGCGTTGCCAATTCAACTCGAAACAGACGACAACATTGGAAATCCAAACGCCATATAGTTCTGTAGTACGTTTTTTAATTTTGCGCAAAATTCTGAGTAATTCTTTCTATTATTTCCCAATGCTTGTCTCTTTCCCTTACATTCATTTTTTTTATACCTGATTTCTTCGATTTGAGCCCATAAAGATTGTTCCTCGTAATAAAAAATAATCATATTTGTGGTTTTGTCTGCGTTATACAAAAACTGTTGATGCTATATAGTTTCAAAATGACTTCAAGCACAAGATAGCCGTAGCGTACCTAGGTAAATCATTTATGAGGGAAACCTTTTTTTCACTCAAATCTACGAAGTGGTTCCCGATAGATATAGGGACATGTATGAAAATATTGTAGATAAATTATTAAACTTCTAAAGGGTAATGTGAAATATGTAGGGTTGCATTTAAAAAAAACATTTTTTGCCAGTTAGACACTTTCTTTTTAAATGTAAATTTTTGTGATACCCTGTATTACTTACCAACGAAGTAACGTATTTGTCAGGAAAATGTATTAGCTAACCCCTGGGTAATGTTGGTAATTTGGTAATTTTACTTGTGCAAAAGCAGTATTTTTTTTTAAATATATATTTTGACGAAATAACAGAAAGGCAATCAAATCAATCAAATTAAGCATGCTCAGAAATTGATTGATTAAACATTTTTGAAAATAGGTTCATATAAAAACGACGCTTTCATCTGATATGATGCGAGGGTTCTGATTCTTTATGAATTATATGTTAGGAATGTCTAAATATAAGTTGCGGTAATATTAAAACGGAATTCTGTGGAATTTTTGGTAATGATATCAATTTTTGAGCACAGATTCATGTAAGCTTGAGAGATACTATATTTCTGCAAATCTCATAGAGGGTGAAAAGGGCTCAACTTTAAGGGACTTCCGTCCAGGATTTTTGATATTTCGGTCACAGAGCGACACCGTGTTCACTGAGCAACCCATGTACAGCTCCTTTTTCTTCCGCTTGGGACCATCTGGATACTGTAAGGTACTTTTATGCACAAAGAGGCACCTTACACGCAATGAAAATATCAAACGGTTTATACAGAAAATGTGAATTCTGCGGGAAGCCAACAAGAAACGACCAGCTATACATCTACTAATTTTCAACTAAAGAGGGAAGTATTTAAGTTACTTTACCTCTTAGATCCATTCTTTACAATGTTATTTTATTAATCCAACTAAGTAACGGTTAGAGCCGGATTTCCGTGAACAGAATGGTTGTACAGGGTAGGCATTTGCGAGACTAGCTTTAAGTCTGTTTGAACATTTGAGTGAAGGCAATGACTGAGTTGAAATGCTAAAAGATTGTCGAACTTTAATTGTATTTATATATGTATGCAGACTAATTCAGAAGACAAGAGAAGACGAAAATAAAGTTAACCAAGGAGGAAGCTCTCATCCATAAATATCATAGATAGGAAGAAATCGGTTCTTTTAAACAACATCCAACATAGGTTTGCGGAAATAATAGAACTGAGTTGATGAAATGTACAACGATAAATCAATCTACGAGGAACCTTTCGAATAGTGAAGGACAAATATTGAGCAAGGACTAAACGTCTCCTTTACCCCCAATGTTAGATAATATATATACATATATACAACTGGAAGGAGCGGAAATAGATAATCTGAAACGGAAAGTTAAAACTGTTTTGGAGAAGACAAGAAAAGGGACGATGACTTACAAAAGGGCGTGAACATTAAAGGTTCTCCAAGTGGATAAGTGAAACGCCACAGTCACACCACAAAATCGAAAAGACGCTTGCTAAAGCCAAATACATACTAGTACTAGGAAGAATCTATAGAGCACTGCACTGATAATTTAGGAACTTCGTTAACTCCACTCATACTAAACCACCATCTTTATGGACCAACCAGTGTACTGCCAACGTACCAACTGTACCAACGTACTCTGAGAGGAATCGTTAGACATTGTCGAGGCCAGACGAGGAATTATACAACACCTACAGACAGAACTTTGCTAGCACTGGAGGGAGTGATGATGCTGTATGAATAACTCTTACTTTAAAGTCATAAATAAGTTATATGCACAAGATGATGGACTACCAACCCGTGGTAGCAGATATGTAGATGGAATGGTTTGAAACTCACGTTATTGTTAACCTAGAGACTAGACTATACTATATTCAGACTAGACTAGACTATATACAAGAGCAAGAACAAAGCCAGAAACGTCGACTCAAGAGAAAGAGTGTATCTAGTTGAGTTGAAGAACATATGAAACAGGATAAATAAAACGAATTCTATATTTCCTAAAGTAATTTATTTCTCTGTCCTCGAATAATCCCAAGACAATACCTTTAGATTTATCAAGCAAAGTAGTCTAAGAGACAAAAGTAAAACGACGAAGCCACGATGGTTGAGTTTACGGCGTTTGCGGTCGCCTGACTGCAGTCCGCGACTATCTGTTGGGTGTTTGCATTTTCGGGGAAGAAAGTTTTGAGTTTGTCCGCGGCGACTGCCTCGTCAATTGTTCCTTTGTTGGTGAGAATGAAAAGCTTGACGTACATGCAGTACAGGTGATCGTTGAAGTTGACCGGAAGCTCGACATCTTCAGGTTTCTTCTTTTCGAACTCGAGTTCTTGGAATACCGTCATGTTAGCGATGAAGTAATGTACATCTTCCTGACATTCTTGGTGCACTTTGAAATACTCCTCCGTATATTGGGGCGCCGCCTGGAAGCATTTTCTATATTTTTTGTTTTATATAAATTAAGGAAATTGAGTTTTTGAATTTTCATTGTTGGTTTGAGTAGAAATTCAGTTGGTATTATAAATAAATTAATGGTTTCACTTATTTGTTTGATATATCAAACCAGAAGCTGAGTAGTTGGCTGACTTTTAAGGAGGACAAGAGACTCCGTCAGGAATTCTGGGAAGGAAGTTATATAAGGATTGAGGATCCATCACTAAACTCAAAATCCGGTGTCTCGATGATGTGTGGAAAGAAATAAGGCTTTCAAATTTATAGTTGTAGCAAAAAAAGATGGCGACTCTACTTTTTCCAGGGGAACTGATTAAAAATATGTGAAATTTTTTTTTCCCATACCGCAAAAAACTCACTAGGTAGTTTATTATAAGAAGTAAATGGATAGGGTATTTTCAAGGTGTTTCCCCCTCCCCCCAACTCACCAAAACGTAGGCAAATAACGCAGTGCAAACCAAGATTGCGACTTTCATTTTCTTGCAATTGAAATCGTATAACGCAAAATACATACCAAAATAGGATACTGCGCTTATATAAAAGAAAAAGCGATAAGATAATAGATATTTTTTCAAGTTCAAGTGATCAACACTCGGTAGGATGAGTTGTCACTACTTAGACACAAATGCGACTAAAAATATGTTTGTTAAAAATACGTTTATTCATTTGGAAAACAAAAACACAATTGAATTAAATATCCATCGAAATCAAAACAGGACTTGGAGTATAATCTAGACTCGAAGATACTTTGGTACATTATGCAAATGCAAGTGTTATGCAAACCAGACATTTGACGCTATTTTCTAATATATGTACCGAAAATATCGCATATTGATTCCAATAAATAACATAGTAAGAACCAACCCAAGCAAAAAGATGAACGGATACAGCATCATCACTCCCTCCAGTGCTAGCAAAGTTCTGTCTGTAGGTGTTGTATAATTCCTTGTCTGGCCTCGACAATGTCTAACGATTCCTTGTCTGAAGGGAGGAATCTGAGTCTTTTTTTTTAATTTCTTACAAACGCCAGGGGTTAAGTACAAATGAAGGAGTTTTCCCGCAAGCGACTGAACCATTTGAAGTAGGAATCCCGCAAAGTGGTGGTAGATATGAGCAGTACAATGGTTGGCCCATAAAGATGTGGTGGTTTAGTATGAACGGAGTTAACGAAGTTCCCAAATTATCCGTGCAGTGCTCTACAGATTCTTCCTAGTACTAGTCTGTATTTGGCTTTACCAAGTGTCTTCTCGATTTTGTGAGGTGACTGTGGCGTTTCCCTTATCCGCTTGGAGAACCTTAAATGTTCACGTCCTTTTGTAAGTCATCGTCCCTTTTCTTGTCTTCTCCAAAACAGTTTTAACTTTCCGTTTCAGATTATCTATTTCCGCTCCTTCCAGTTGTATATATAATATGTAACATTGGCGTCTTTCTAGCGGTAAAGGAGACGTTTAGTCCTTGCTCAATATTTGTCCTTCACTATTGGAAAGGTTCCTCCTAGATTGATTTATCGTTGTGCGTTTCATCAACTCAGTTCTATTATTTCCGCAAACCTATGTTGGATGTTGTTTAAAAGAACCGATTTCTTCCTATCTATGATATTTGTGGATGAGAGCTTCCTCCTTGGTTAACTTAATTTTCGTCTTCTCTTGTCTTCTGAATTAGTCTGCATACATATATAAATACAATTAAAGTTCGACAATCTTTTAGCATTTCAACTCAGTCATTGCCTTCACTCAAATGTTCAAGCAGACTTAGAGCTAGTCTCAGAAATGCCTACCCTGTACAACCATTCTGTTCATGGAAATCCGGCTCTAACCGTTCCTTAGTTGGATTAATAAAATAACATTGTCAAGAATGGATCTAAGAGGTAAAGTAATTTAAATACTTCCCTCTTTAGTTGAAAATTAGTAGGTGTATAGCTGGTCGTTTCTTGTTGGCTTCCCGCAGAATTCACATTTTCTGTATAAACCGTTTGATATTTTCATTGCGTGTAAAGTGCCTCTTTGTGCGTAAAAGTACCTTACAGTATCCAGATGGTCCCAAGCGGAAGAAAAAGGAACTGTACATGGGTTGCTCAGTGAACACGGTGTCGCTCTGTGATCGAAATATCAAAAATCCTGGACGGAAGTCCCTTGAAGTTGAGCCCTTTTCACCCTCTATGAGATTTGCAGAAATATAGTATCTCTCAAGCTTACATGAATCTGTGCTCAAAAATTGATATCATTACCAAAAATTCCACAGAATTCCGTTTTAATGTTACCGCAACTTATATTTAGACATTCCTAACATATAATTCATAAAGAATCAGAACCCTCGCATCATATCAGATGAAAGTGTTGTTTTTATATGAACCTATTTTCAAAAATGTTTAATCAATCAATTTATGAGCATGCTTAATTTGATAAGAATTTTTCCTCAATTTGGTATCTATGAAGTGCGATTCGCATTGAGTGTCTTATTAAAAAAACTAAACACCATTCAGTGAGCGGACATTTGCCTACCACCTTGACTCAAACGTTCAAGCAGACTTAAAGCTAGACTCGCAATGCCTACCCTGTACATCCATTCTGTTCACGGATATTGGAATGGCCTCAAGGGAACGTTGTGTTCAAAACTTCTCTATGGAAATTCTAATTGAATAACATATTTATTGAAATAAAAAACAAACGAAATTATACTATCAAATAAAACCCCTTAATTTTTGGACGGATCAGTTGGTTTTAGTTTTATACTGCCTAGAGAGTAATCAAAACCAATAAAATCATCCCTATTGAAAAAACTAACAGAAAAACATTTGTCAATATTCAGAGTTTATCGCAGAAGTCAACAATCTGAAAATCTCCTTAAGGAAGGTGATATTATCTATAAACAGCAATTATTTTCCCATTACATTATTAGTAAAAATGGAAAATATGAGCCCAAGTTTAGCAGTCTGTGGAGCCCCACTTGATTAAGCAATAAATTCATATGACTTATGTCCTAGCACCACGACGTAAATGCGACTTGAAGAACAATACTAGATTTGCGTCAAACAACATTTCCACAAGTGTGTGGAGAAAAATACAATGGTCAACCATGTCGAAAACTTTTACAGGGCATAATACATGATTTAGGTTATCTAATGTTTGAGAGATAGTGTACTCCGTTTGTTAAAAATACATCTTAATCTTCTGCTATTAAATTTTTAACCTGATTGAAAATATCTTCGGACACTGCTTTTATAATGGGCCCATAGTTCGAGATTTTAAGCATGACACAGCACAGTCCCTAATTAAACAGTATTTTATTAGAACCACAGGACATTTCATTCTTTGATCTTATCAATTCTCGAAGTAGTGAATTATCAGAAATACCGCTCATGGTATCGACATCGAATTAGATATAGAATTCCAAACTTGTTCTGTTGGCTGCAAGCTGCAGTGTTGAAAAAGACAGGCACTTCAACTGGATTTGTGACTCTTGTAGTTTTTGATAAGATGCGTTCACAGAAATGTCTATCTATTGGCTCTGGTGGTTCAAGAAGCATTCCTGTTAATCCTTATGAAGACGATGTCATAAATTTGCTCCGATATACCGCAAATAATAACGTAAAAGATACGTGGAACAGCTCGTTAGCTTTCTGGGGTAAATGAAAATATTCGAACGTATAAAATTCATGGTTACATCTTTTTACCTTCTCAGAAACCCTATACTTAAGTTTTCCAAGATTAACTATCGCGCTTTAGTATCTATTAAGATGGTGTCTGTTTTTTAATTATGTTCATTGTCAGTAAGATGTAGGGGAGTGGTTGTCCTGCACCAAGTCCAGTATTCTACCATAGTACCTCCGAATATAATTAAAATTCCTCAAATCAAGGAACTTACAGTATTTCCTGCTCTTGATCTCTTGCAAGCTCTCACCTGAACGAAATATTGAAATACTTTCAATTACAATCTTATTACCATGCAACCAATACAGTCAAAATTCAATTTGAATCCTAAAAGATATGCTATAGATTGACCTGACCCGTGTAGGCCGGAACTATCTCTTTGCAGGTAGTAATATATCACCGTCCCTCGACATCTCAACCATTTACATTATCCTGTAACGAGGTCTTCGTGACTTACAAAACACCATTGACTGTATCCAAACCCCTAACACTGATAAACAGAAAAAATATTCAAATTTACAGACTTCGAGACACTGTCACTCTTGGAGACTACTTGCTTCTACCTAAAAAGAGAGAAACATCTTTCCAGGGCTCGTACTTTACGTACGATATCAGATACATCTAGTTATTTTCACTCACACTTCTTAAAACACTCTCTGTAAGAAAAATCACAAGGTTATTTTGTCACCGCTCCGCTCACTGATCACATCGCCGGGAGCATTCACCGCAGAAAGCTGACGAGCTGCAAGCAACAGCATATTAGAATTCAATATGAATCGGTTTCTCCATAAAACCGTTCCACGCATCTTTTTACGTTATTACGGTAGATCGAAGCAAATTTATGACATCTTCTTCATAAGGATAATCAGGAATGCTTCTTGAACCACCAGGGCCAATAGATAGGCATTTATGTGAACGCATGTTAACAAAAACTACAAGAGTCACAAATCCCGTTGAAGTGCCTGACTTTTTCAACAAATGCATACAGAACATGACATTTCCGAATAGTTATCATTAATAGTGCAGTTCCCTCTACTACTACTACTACTACTACTACTACTACTACTCGAAAATCAAGATACATTTGAATTCCAAATTATGATATAAAAATAATATCAAGCATATCAAGCACTTATTTTTGGAGCTTTGCAAGTTCAAAACTAAAGTTTTTATTCTTCAATTCTTTTGCCACCTAGATATTAATGTTTATATACCTAAAGTTTTTTGACTTAAGCATTATAAGCATCATGGGCAAGTTATTTACAAAACACCATAATTTTCGAAATCACCCTGTAGCTCAGAAACACATTGGGTTAAGAAAATTCTGTTGTCGGCATCTTTAGTCTCACAACCACCATAACCCGCAAACCAAAAACCTCTAGTTTTACTCATAACCGAGATTTTCCGCAATGACCAAGATTTCGGACAGATTGTACAGTATACCCGTTACGACAAGTTACGTCTTGGTTTTGTTTCGCAGCATTGTCGATGCGAGACGTTGTTACCAGCTTGTTATGATTATTTCGAAATGTTGGGACTAGATACCGCGACCGGAATCGCTAATCACCATACACTTATAACCAACAAAATGGGCAAATAGTCAAATCCCAAAGTGCTTAGCCATTTGGGCCAGTACTACGCTAACCTGATACACTCCAGGTCTTTAAATTACAATATAGAGACTTCAAACTAAATTATTGAGCATATTTTTGGATATTCGTACCACTTCTCCTGAAGCAAACAAAAACACCTCGTAGGACACGGCGTCCACGCTATGGAGGCTTATATGATGAGTGAAATACTATTTCAAAACATCAAGCGTTTCAATCTCTTGTGTTTATAATGAATAGCCATAAATCTCTGCTATTGGAGAGCCGTGAAAGCGGTAACCAGCTACTGCTATAATATTATTTATTAATTAATTTATTTATTTTTGAGAAAACAGGTGAAAATTTAAAAATATACCTGTTCTTGGTGTGGGCAGAAAAAATGTGTGACATGGAGAACAAGAAAATTTAGTCTATATAATAGGTCAGAGCCATCAAACAAGTTATTTAAACTTTTAAATAATCATGGCGATTGCAAAGAGACACATAAACACTCCATCCAATTTATACCATACATACTTCAAAAGCTTATTGTACTTAGGCGACCAAATTACTGATACTCCAACCTGACGTATGAGTTACATAATATTTTTATCACTTCTGTGAGGAACAAAGGATAATTTCGAGTAGAATATTACTCCTAAGTCATAAAAAGAGTTAGAACGGGAGAGAGTTTTATCAAACAGATGACAGTCATATTTTACAGCTTACTCCTGGTGGTATAAGACTACATTGCACTTGCCTATATTAAGTTGCAAGTAATTATGTAGAGACCAATTGTTGATTTGCTCCAAACTACGCTGGAGAGGAAGACAATTCTCTAGTCACCTGACATCAAGGACTTTATCAATGTCATTAACGAAAATATTGAATAATAGTGGCACCAGTATTGAGCCTTAAGGAACGCCTGTGGAAGCAATGTATTCATCGGAAGTATGACCATAGAGATGGATGTACTGGATGGATCGAAAATCAAGGAGTTTGTGGATTAGAATTTTGCTATCTAGGCTATCAAACGCTTTTAAAAAATCAAGATATATAACGTCCATTTGAGAAACTTCATCGATAGCCTCAGAAATATACGGAGATATAGTGGTTAAATTGATAATGGTGATTTAGTTCCTGAAAACATGAAATATTTAGTCATGAAGGAGAGATTCGAAAACTTTATGGAAATTACAGATAAGGCAAATAGCCCCATAGTTTGTGATTTGCGATCTTGTCTTTTTTATGTATGGGAATAATTTTAGACATTTGCCATGTACAAGGAACGGTTTAGTCTCTCAGACACAGATTACAATTAAATCTGAACCCATTGTGGACTTTGGTTGAATAACTTTAAGGGCTTTTGCCACCTCATATTCAGAAAACATCTTTATATTTATATTTTCAGAGTAGTGTGAATTACTATTACCATTAAAACTGTTGAGGGAACCCCCGTTAGAAAATGATTATCGAAAACATAATGCTAAAGACTTGCCTAGCACGTAACTTAGTGTCATTAAAGTTCACCAGAGATTTCTCTTTTGCTTTAATTTTTTTAAATTATATTAATTTAGTTCCATTCCGCCGATTTATGCAGTTCTAACTAAGTTCATTCGTTTTAGTTTGGTGTAACTAAAATTCACCATTGTCAACATCAAAACCGAGAAAAAAGTAAAACCACACCTCAGTCTAACACACATTTTATTCAAATCGCGCCAAAAAAGCAATGTGTCTTATGCGAAGTAGTCTAAAATACACAAATAGAACAAGCCCGAAGTTTCGTCCAAGTCGTCGGATTCGTTGGCGATTCCTCCGCAAGCAGTGACGATTTGGGGGGCCAGAGCGGGGTTAAAGAAGAAAGTTTTCAATTTATCTGCCGCAATGTCGATGATGATATCACCGTTCTTGTCGAAGAGACCGAGGTTGCTGTACATGCATCCCATGTGGGCGTTGAAGTTGCTCGGAAATTTCACTTGGCTTACCGGCTTCTTCTCTGTCTCGAGCTCAATGAATACCGACAGATCGTCGATACGGTACCTGGCGTCGGCCTGACAGATGTCGTGCACTTGCATGTACTCATCTGTGTACTCAGGAGTGGCCTGGAATTTGACCGTTCATGCATTTACCAGAAAATTGACGAGCAACTATTTTAACTACTTTGAGGAAAGGAAAGACTTTGGTCTGCGTCTAGATATCGTTTTGATTGCATATAAATCTGAACCTTTTTACCTCTTCACTAATCTCAGGTTTTAAATTGTCGGACGAATAATGGAAATTGACATAAATCTAATTCCAAACACTACACCTACTTTACCTGTGATCATGGTAGTCTGATATAAATGTTTGTACTTTGGGATAGTTCTTTTGACTTTTGAATGTTGGTTTAAGGAGATACTGAGTTTGCATGTTTGATAAATGTGGATTAATGACCTGACAATAAAGCTACAGAGAAGATGAGTGTTTGGCAAACATTACAGAGCTGCGGTTCAAGTCCAGGGAAAATTGGCTCTCCTTGGTTGCAAGTCGGAAAGCAAGATATAGGTAAGGAAGGGTACATAGGTATAGAGGTTGTTGATAAATTTTTACCCACAATAGTCGTTTTCCAGAAAAAAAGATATATCGTTTTACCTCTTCAAAAAACTCAGATTTTACCTCAATTTGTCGGATGACTAGTAGTCTTAATCTTAATCCAAGCACTCTAAATCGTAGGTAGCTTACCTAGCATCATCCCCTTTCACGCCGTCTTATACATATTTTTGTATTTATATTTCAAGTTCCGTTTACATGTACCCTTTATAATGAGATTCAAATTAACCCAAGCCTGTTCTTGAGTTGATATCCATTCTGAAAATTCGATAATTGTATGTCCTTTTTATTTTCCTTTTTTTTGTATTTGTTTTTCCATCTCTGATATACTGATGTGATTGTGTAAATGGAACCATATTAAAATTTTCACGAGAACTATTGTGAATTAATTGGACTGTTAGTATAAATAGCGCAAGCCAAGCACCCCTGAGTGCTGAACTGAATAGAATTCATAGAAAATTTGCTTGTTATTGCAAAATAGATCAGACAGTAATTTTCAGCTGTAGTTAAATGATATGCATGCAGATTCATCTACACCTTGTGACACTTTATGTACAGCTGATTGCGGCATAATATATAACAACACAAAACGTAACGGCATTCAGTTGGAGACTTAAGAATAAAGAAAAAAATCCAATATCTTGAACTATGACACAGAGACCGAGAGAACAGTGCTTCAGTTGCGAAACTTAATGGCACTAAAACCGTTTTAATGTTCTCAGTGGACAACATCACTAATCACTGCACCTGAGTCTATCTTGATACAAGCACGATAGCCTTTAGATTAGATTCGACTTGATAGCGGTCAGTAATGCAATTGAATGATGCGTAAACTGAAGATAAAATGTTACTGAGGCAGAGGTACTTACCAATACGTAGGCTAAAAAGGCGAGTAGAGTCACAAGGGAGGAATTCATGTCTTTTTTTTATTAGATAATACAATTCAGAAGCTACGAATCGGAATTAATGAAATCCTCGTATTTATTGGAAAAAAAAATTTCGAGATAAGAGGAGGCGATATTGCCGTTGAAATATTTGAGTCGCAATTTAATAATCTTCACAAATACTTCAGCAATATCGCCATGTCACAGCATATTTTGACGTATAAAAATTTGAAGAGAACAACATGATAAAAGTGCGTGAACGCGATATCTGCACGACAGAGAAATTGAAGATATACGCCAATCTGCGATAATTAATTAACTTTGTTAACCTCACAGACGTCTGCTATTTTCAAAAATTATTGATAAGAAACATTATTATACATAATTTACAATTATAATATTACATAAATTGCAGATGAAGCTACCAAAATTGAATGACCAGAGTTGATCTAATTTTGGATAAATTGAAAAGTTTGATCCCGAAAAAAAGGTGTACAAAAACTGTAGGATTCAAAATTGTTTTCGAAGGCTTACATTTTGACGTTTGTCAATTCTGATGGTCATATCAGTGAACGTATTCCTGTTGTTTTACAAAAATATACCCAAAAATAGGTTGAAGCACGTGTATTATGCGACAAGTGTGGTAAACGGCATTTGAGTCGCAAGGTTATTTGGCACCAGCGGAGCGCAGCGCAGAGCAGCGGAGCGAGTGTTAAATAGACGAGTGACCTAAAAAGTTTTTCAAACTTGTTGAATGCTATACTTTTTCTACGACCTTCATTTTTTTGGTACATTCTTGCAAAACAACACGAATACATTCACTGACATGATCGTCGGAATTGACAAACGTCAAAATTCAAGCCGTGCGGTAAAATCTCCGAAAACATCCGATTGCTCCCAAAACTGTCTGGTAAAATCCCGAAAATGTCCGAAGTGGCTCGGATTTACGGGAAATGAAACTCGCATGCTAAAGTGACCCTTTCCGCACGCTAGATTGGTATATAATTCTGTATTTTACAGAAGGGAGTCAAAAAACTGTATTTGAGTTACGAGTTTATTTTTCACGAGCGGAGCGAGTGCTTAATAAACGAGTGACTTAATAAGTTTAGCAAAAATGTTGCAATCTATTCTGTATTCGTGTATATTATTTCTCTGAATTCAAATATTTTGTCGACAGAGTATCCGAATTTTTTGTAATTGAGGAAAATCGGATTTTTAATTGATTTTTGATAATTGAATGAAAATGAAAAATAAATCGAAATATAAAGGAAATTAATCAAAGAAGTGTGTTGATTGTTTATATAAACAGAGGTTTGAGAGATCCCAACTCTGCTAATTACAGAATCACCCAAAATCACTACCAAAAATAATATGGTGGAGGAGAGCAGTGATTTTTTTTTTATTTTGATAAAGTCAACCTAGGAGCGACGTATCTGGTGAATGTGTTTTCAAAATTGTAATAAACACATTTGAGTGAGCTACTTACCAAGACGTAAGCCAAGATGGCGAAAGCGATAATTGCTGATTTCATTTTTCGGCAGTTTCTGCTGTTGACTCTTGTAAACAACTTTGTAACACTATTGCGAACACTATTTGCTTGGCGGCTTTATATACCTTAGAAAAAGATTAGATTTCACAAGTACGCTGACTGTCACGTGATTACTATTACTCGCTTTAATGCATCCTTTATTCAAAAGTGCAGTTTGAATGAAACAGATATATTTTTCTATCTGAAAATAGTTCAATATCTATCCGATAGTGCGCATTATTAAACAAACAAACAAATTAATTGGTTAATACCATTATGGTACACCTGTAGTTCACATAATATGCTCAATAAAACATTTATATACGGCGATGATCTTTAGACAGGATGATTCTAGCTTAAATTTTAACCAGCCAGACTAGATCCGACATTTTGTTAGGATTGATAGTTTTGCAAAGTTTTACTCACTCATTCAAATTTCAGTGTCCGTGACAAGAAAACCAAGGTGAAAAAATTCATATTTAGAAACATTAATTGATGAGCATACATTTCCAACCACAAACAACATATTTTAAACACTAATTTATCTGGGCTGGCGTTTCATTAACAACTCTCCCACGACTGGTACATCTTGTGCACTACAACAAAGCAATAAGAAACAACTCAAAATTAAAATAGATGTTTATTTCTTATTCGTCTGTGCAAACAAAAGCAAAACCTTAGGCAAAGTAATCCAAAATGCACAAATAGAACAGGCCGGAGGTTTCGGCCAAGTCATCAGAAGCGTTGGCGATACCACCGCAAGCGGTAACGATTTGAGGTGCCAAATTTTGGTTGCTGAAGAAGGTTTTGAGTTTTTCGGCGGCGAGGTCTACGATAATGTCGCCATTGTCGTCGAACAGGCCGAGCTTGCTGTACATGCAAGACATGTGGTCGTTGAAGTTGCTAGGGAACTGGACGTCCTTGGCGGGGATTTTCTCGAACTCGAGTTGTGAGAACACCGACATGTCGACGATACGGTAGACGTCGTCGGCCTGACACTCTTGGTGCACTTGGAAGTACTCCTCCGTGTATTGGGGAGCAGCCTGTTCGAAAAATTGCGCTCTATTAAATGTCTACTGGGCTCTGGGGTTTTGATCTTGTTGAAAATGTTTGTAGTAGCCAGTGTCACTTTTTTTTACACTTTATTTCCTTTAACTTATACTACTTTTCATCTGTGAGCGGGCTGGGTGGAGTGAAGCTTGGGGTTATTCTCTGAGAACGTACTAGCATCTGTTACGTTTTAAATTAGTACCCTGGTATTACTTAATATTATTGTTGTTTTATATGAGCTGCTTTCCTAAATTTAAGTTATCTCCAATGAGGTTCCTTGTGCACAACCTGAGCCTTAGATCGTTTAATATCATCGTGCTTATCATTACATCATATATATACATTATCATTGGGTTAAATATTCGTTAAGTAAAAATGTTCTGTCATTCTAATATTTCTGTATTTTCTTTAACACATGGTTAGTAGAAAACGTGGTTATCTTCATCAGATGAAGGCAGATGAAGAAATGATCTTGTTTATGAAATTCTCACTGTTACAATTCTGCAGGAATCTCAATCTGTCAAAAGTTAGTCCCTTGGTAGAGCATATAAGTTTAAAGTTTTGGTTTGTTGTTTTTTACTTAATTACTTAGTTAAAGTATAATCATCACCATCAGGGATTGAAAAGTTGGTTTTCAATTAGATGACTGCTCGAAAATTTGTGAAACACTTTGCGACAAAGAAGGAAATGAAGATTTCGCTTAATAGTATGAACTTGTATACTTACCACCACGTAAGCCACAACGGCTAATAGAAGAACCGCGACGGATTTCATTATCGTTTTTTTTTATTGAACTTCGCACGACTTTACGCACAATTAAAAAAAATGACGAAGCTGGATATTTATAATAAAAATAGTCTTGATAAGATCTGATACACTTAAGACCGACGTTAGATAGAGGTATTAAAATCTTGTATCAATTTAAATGCTCCAAACTAATATAACGTCGAAAAGCAAACAATCAAGGGGCGTAGTGATCACTGCAGTGCGTCATTTGTTGAAGAGTTGACGAATGTACAAGGTGTCCCAAAGTCGGTTAAACAGAGTCAAAGTTTAGAGATTTCTATGGATTTTAGGATTTTTTTCTCGTAGAAGAATTGATTACGTAGGAGAATTTTAGTTTTATTGAATAATGAATAATAAACATATGTTTCTTTTACGAGTCAAATTTATGAACTAACGTGATGATAAGTTAGCAACTTGATCCCAAGAATGTCACTGCGATTTTCTTAGATATTTAAACTCTATACACCCTAACATATCATTTACCATTGAATTAGAAACTAATAATAATTTTTAACTCTTAGATAATCTTTTTATTAGAAAATCAGATCTAATATTGGGTTATTGTGTTTACAGCAAACCTACGTACACACACCGATGCCTTAGTGCATCGTCACATCGCCATCCAGCAAAAAATTAATCGGTTATCAACTCTCTTGTTTACAGAGCCATAAAAGTCTATCAACTCTGGTCACTGGACCCAGAATTAAACACACTCATTGGACATATTTAACGAGCCATCACAAAATACTCTTCACAAAAACCACCCAGAAAGACAATTAGCCCTAAATCTATCCCAGACTTGCCTCCGTTGTCCACCGACTGACCACATAGCAAAAGTTCTTAAGGTATGTAACTTCAAAACCTGTTTGAGATACCAGGAATTTAAACAGAAGCATATGCAGCAAAGACATATCCAAACCCAATCGTGAAACAGAACATCAAATGTTATTCGAATGAACTGAAATTCTTGCAGATAATCCATTCTTTTACCGAAGAAAACTCCTTGAATCCTGGGAAAACTCTAAACAACCAACCCTTAACCACTCAGGCCTTTAACTTTCACCAATCTGGGACTCAGTCATCCTCCTCAGACAATGAGTAGAATACGAGCCAGTATCAGTTAAGCTCTGAAGAAGACAACAGGATGATTGGCGAAACGTCAGCAAGTTCGATTTATGAACAACGACGTCGGAAGAATCCAAAAAATTTGTAAGTAATTATGATCAGATTAGCTAGAAATTAAGCACAGAAGATCAATCAACGTTGTCCAATTCGATTTATGGATTAGTTTCACAAAATTTGGTGGTACGAATTGTACCCCACCGAACGTTATTTTTACGATAAAACATATTCGTGAGCAAATTACACTCACAATTTTACCTATCTACACAATTAACCTTGACCTTAAAATGCATTGGGTAGTGTTAAGGTTTACTGCTCAAGAAGTGGATCATAAATTTGCATTGTAACAAAACCAACTAAAATATTCACTGTTATTTGCTTCCTCGGTTAATATGAAATTGTATTCTATATGTGTACTTTTTATCGCAATTTACCTGTTTAACCCGTTTCACCAGAAACGTATCATGTTAATCCTCATGATACGTTGGGTTCCTTTAGATACAAAAGTCAAAAATTATGAAATTTTAATGAAAGCTAATTGTTTACACGCTTTAAGGTATGAAATACAATTATGCGTAGTACTCTAGAGTACAGAAATAGAAGAGTCCGGCGGTTTCTGCAAGATCGTCCGACTCGTTAGCGATGCCTCCGCAAGCGGTGACGATCTGGGTGGCAACTTCTGGCTTGCTGAACAAAGTCTTCAATTTGTCGGCGGCGACGGATACAATGATGTCGCCGTTATCGTTAAATAAGCCCAGGTTCTCGTACATGCACGCCATGTGGTCGTCGAAGTTGGCAGGGATGTCTACCTGAGACACCGGCAATTTCTCGTACTCCAACTGCTCGAACACGGTCATGTTTTGGATGCGGAGTTTCTCATCAGCTTGGCATTGTTCGTGCACTTTAAAGTACTCCGCACTGTACGTGGGTGCTGCCTAGAACGTTCAAATACCAAGGATAAAAAAGGGGGAAGATCGAAACGAAGAGACAGCGAGAGTTTGGTTATATCAATACGATTTGCGATGGCATAGTCGATCATAAATCCAATATAGAAGGTGCTTCAGTATTTTACCTACTGCCACTACTTACTACTTACGCCTCCGTGTTGTACACCAGACAGAGATAGCAGCAATTAGTGAATAGTTAGAGTAGTTTCCACTACAAAACAAGGTTGGATTTTTGGAAAACTGCTACCAAAATTCGAAAGGTATTCTTTAGTTATTATGAATAATACATGATATAAAAGAAATTAGCAAGTGGCTGCGCAGCAAGCGGATTAATTCTCCAGAAAATGTTCAAAAATGTGAGTTGTTAAAAATTGTCAAAAATTACAAAAGAAACTAAACAATGAAATGGGTCATCAAGTTTTAAGGTTTCCTCTTTACCATTGGACATTTAATGCCATAGATTTGATGTGGGATCAGTGCAAAATACTTTTTTATAAAAATATCATAGGTGGGGCAAGGCAGGATGATATTGCAGTATCTGTTTGGAAGGCAGCTGTCCAGACAGTTACCAAAGAAAATTGGATCATATAATAGGAACATATTGAGAGAAAGAGAATAAACTGATATAATCGTATCACCACTTGTTATTAAAGAAGACGAAGGATTATTTTCTGGTAGTAGCAGGTTTAATTTTGGCTGTGTCATGGTAATTACAAACTTGATATGGTATACTTGTGTGATATATAACACCCTGATCTATTATAACGTAGAAAATACATAAATCTTTCTCTAAGCATATGGGTACTAATTAAATTAATAAATGACAAGTAAAACAGTCTTGCAGACATTTAGGGCGGAACAACATCTATTGAAGTATAAATGGAAGGAAGATGAAACAATCTATTTCATTCTATCTGGCATTTTAATGGCGACTATGCCAGAGCCCCCAAAAATATCACCGGACATTCAGTGATTGCTTTTAATCACCCGCTAACGATTGGATATTAATTATGAAATTGACTTAAGTCACAAGAACGTGACTCTCAAAAAATTCTAGTTATCTTGTTTCTTCCAACAGCCGTCTTCTGAGATACAGAATACGATTGTACTACTATTAGGGTCTTGAACGCCGTTAAAGTTATGAAACCGGTTAAATAGAGGCGCATTTTGATGCGTACTTTAAACCGTTTCAAAATAGAGAAATATCCGAAAATAACGAAAATCTGCAATTTTGTTGAATTTTTACCAGGCCTCGATTAAAAAATTTGCTCTCTCATTGCATCAACTTAGTTTCCTTAAATACAGACCTGCATTTTTCACATTAAATTATTATTTTCCAACTAAATAAATTCAGATTTATAGAAAAAGTAAGGTGGTTTAGAAACAAAAGGATTTATGTTCAGCAGTTTTTGCATAATTATTAATTAATTCAAAATTCTTAAAGGATACCTTCATAAAGGAAGGGTCTTTAATAATCCATCATCCTCCAGGTGTGTTAATATATTCATACAGGGGAATAAATTCTAAATACTATTTACAAATCTCCTGGATCCCTCTCTGACATTTCGCCAATCATCCTATCGGCTTCTTCAAAGTTTAACTGAAACCGTTTCAGTATAATTTAAGCCCAGAAGAAACCAACAGGATGATTGGCGGAACGTCAGCAAACCTGATTTATAAATATATATTTATAACCGATGCAGAAGGAATGCAGAAGATTACAGTAGCTCCAGCAATTATCTCACAAGTGATATCCGATTTCATCTGGCCTGAATACCAGCGTGAATATGTGAATCCGGCAAGCTACCAATACCATAGACATCCGGGCAATAATTCACAAAACTATGCACACTAACGATACACTTAACAGATATGCCGATCAAATTTTTAAATCAAAAGAAACCCATTTTCAACTTTATTGAAATTGTTGTTAATTATTAATGGGACAGTAATTGTTTACTGTTGTATGTTTTTGTAGACTTTGTACTAAAACATACGTTTTGAAATGTGGAAAAACGGGATATGTTACTTTTTTATTACAATTCACTCCGAAATTCTCGAACTGCTAGTGAACGGTACCAAAATCAATATCCTCGTGAGTAGAGAAGTAGAGTAGACATTTATTCACTAATACCAATATAACAATAGAGATAGATTATAAAAAACATTTGTTGTCAGTACATATTTTAAATATTTTTTGTTTTTCTACGTCGTAGGAAGCATGTTATAGTAAGTTTGCCAGGAATGAAAAGGTGATCTCTGATAGTAATAGTTATAAAAAAAAAATACTGGAAGTTATTTTTATTAATTAATTAGTAGTTTAAGTAAATTAATACCTGGCAGGGTTAAAAAAATTTTTGATTTGAATGTTAAGATAGAAATTTTCTCTTCGAAGTATTAGTTACATCATTTTGGTCTATTTTGACACTTAACCCGTCTAAAGTATCGAGCTCAATACTAAACGCATCAGAATAAAAATTATCAACTTTTACCACAAGTACAACCGGATCGAAATTTTTTTGCTAAAAATACAAATGAGCTCAATTTACTTCGAGAAATCAGAACTGTTCCTGATCGGTTATGCTTATTGCAAAACGTGTTTTTTTGCTACATTTCTTTTTTGTGTAATTTTGCACTTTATTGGGTCGTTATTGTTTAGATAATCATTAAGTGTGATTTTTCAAAATGACAAATAAAAAACTCTGTATTTCAAAAAATGAACTTGATGATGGGCACACAAAATCGAAAAGACATACTTGAATCTTAATAATATCAATTTGTAGGAAAGACAAAGTTGCAGTGGGAAAGTGTCATTTCTCTTTTTCCGGATATCTCTGAAACTAATCAGAATTAAGCGCCAAAATACACTGCCGAGATCCCAATAGGGCCCCTAGAATGCGGGACAACCTGTATAATAGAAGAGGCCAGGCATCCAGAATATTCGATAGTAGTATTACAGTAACTTTTCAAAGAAGCTTCCACAGGCTACTGTAATGCTTTTCACAAATTTTGATTCAACAAAACAGAAAGATTACAATGTCCCTTGATTTCCATTGGTGAAATTGGTATATTCATATCAATTACGACTTTTTAAAAACCATGCATAAAAATTATACTTACCAAAGTGTAAGCCGCGAGGGCCACAACTACAACGATTACCGATTTCATTTTTCTGATAGTTGGTATAATTGGATACTCTCGAGGTAACTTGGTGACAATATTGCGAACTATTCTGCCCGCGGCTGTATATATAGTACCGAAAACGATTAGATTTCGCAAGTGCGGTTACTGTCACGTGATTATTATGCACGTATATGCATCCTGATTAGTAAAGTGCAAGTTGCACGAAACGGATAGACCATAATATGCCACTCGACCTTATTTTTCTAAGATATGATTCTAATCGCATCCGAAAATGGCAAACTCGACCCAGAAATTGCAAAAAATAAACTTCTCATCTGTACAAACACGGAGACTCTGAAATTAAAGCAAATGTCTCTGAAAACTGGATTACTTTGGCATAATTTATCTTCTAGCTGGCCCTGAAAGTTCCGCCTTGTGTAATTCATTTTTGTTTAACAATTCAACAAACATTTATTGACGGTGCAAATTTTGGAAGAGTATTTTGCGGCAAGTAAATGAAAAAACATATTAATTATCTTATCTAGATGCCAAAGTAATTCAGTTTTCAGAGAAACTTACTTTTACATCAGAAACCAAATCATGTGGATATAGGAACATGATATATCATTCAGGGCGTTCTATTTTTTTAAAAAATACACTTTTCACCATTTTTGTAACTCGTAGGCAAATTAGTTTTGCTAAACCCTGTATAACGCGGAACAAATTTCGACATTAAGAAATTCTGTTCAACACGTCCCTAAGCTATGTCTAAAATTATAATTTTCTACTGGCTCCAATGTCGTAGTAATAAAAATTTAGAGATAATAATAAAGAAATATATACAAATATATATAAATAAATATATAAATATAAAAATTATAAGGAAACAATCATCTTCTAGAAAACCGCCGAACGAGGCGTACTAACGTATTATTCAAAAACAATGATGATGCTATGTTTTCGGTAACGCCACAGCATTAAATATACTTTTGATCGATAGAGCATCGTCGCTTATAAAACTAACCAAATTTTCATAACAATCCAATGTAACATTAGCAGTAAACGTCCAACCTCCAAGATACTACCAACCATGAAACACCCTGTATTTTAATCTTGAAAATATGTTGACTGATATAAAATTCTTTTCTGCCTATACGTTGCTAGCCCATTACATAGATAAATATGTACTACACATAAAAAATAGCAAAGTTGTATTAATAATTTTGAACCTTAAATATTTACTTTCAAAAACAACACAAAACAAAACAGAGCTAGAATAAGAAAGGTCTCTTTGGATACAATTAGGCTTTCTGCTTGGTACATTATACAGGAAACTTTGTAGAAAACATTTGATATTAATTATGCCTCTTATAAGTATTTCATAACGATTTTGGTCTTTTACATTTACAAGAGTTAGTTGTACATCTATTAGTGACAATAATAAAAATAATAATAATAATAACTTTGAACGTTAGAGTTTCCAGAGTAACCCAGTTAAATTTTGTATATTGAGGAGCGACATGATCAAACCGATGCATAACAAAACCGTATAAAGCTGTTTGGAGAATTTTCGGGACTTTCTTTGTCTTCACGAAGAAGAGCGGGTCAGTATAACACGCTGCACTATGTCATTGTAGCTAACATAATGGTGTCACGTAGTTTCAACTGCACTGGGCGGGTAAGAATATTTTTGAACAGGTCTTTAGTTTATAATAACTGTGTTGAACTATATAAGAGACCTGAGGTCTAAATCTATTTTTTTATATAAAATACAAAAATTTCTACGCCAAGTACAGAGATTCAATATAACTTTATTAATATATACTGCAATACAATATTTATATCATTTAAAGCAACATCGTTGGTATTGCCAAACAAACAGCTGCTATTGACCGTGATTAAGATTAAGTATGTGCTCAATGGACATATCACTTTTAACCTATAAATCACGATTTCTTTGATGCGAGTTGAGATAGTGGCAGAGGTGAAAAGCCTGAACGATAATGGGCCAAGAACAGTACCCTGGGGAACCCCTAGAAGAACTTTCTCCAAGATCTCAGAAAGAAACCCAAAGAGACCTATAGGCTTAAAGTGAGAAAACTCACTAGGATCACTGCCTACTGCTATAACACTAGCCAACTTAAAGTCACCAGGAAACTTGCGGGAGAAGATACTGTAATTAATAATGTAAGTGATATAACCTAATGGATAAGGTGTTATTAAAGGAATATTTTGACAATCGAGTCCATCAACTAATTAAGTATTATCTGCGTTCCTTTTCTTTTCTTCTTAATAATAATAATAATAATAACAATAATAATGGGGGCCCACATCAGAGCCGTAACAGAAAAGGCCAACAAGGCCTTCAACAACATCAGTCGCCTTCTACCAAAAGTGAATGGGCCTCGTGAAAGCACCAGGAGGATATTATGCTCAGTAGTGACTTCAATACTACTATATGGCGCCTCAATATGGGAGCAATCAGTTGAAAAGAAAGTCTATAAAAGGATTCTGAGTAGTGTTCAAAGGAGGGTAGCCATAAGAGTCTCCGAAGCATACAGAACAACTTCCAATAAGGCACTTATGGTGATAGCTAGGATCCCACCTATTAATCTCCTAGTTAAGTGCAGAGCCCGTATAGAGAAAGATGGACCAGACGCTAAAACGGAAGCACAAAACACGGTGATGTTATGCTGGCAAGAGGAATGGGACACAGATGATGGTAGAGCGGAATGGAGTAAAAAGCTAATTCCAAATATAAGACCCTGGTGTGAGAGACGACACGGTGAAGTAGATTTCTTTCTTACACAAATGCTCACCGGGCGCGGGTGCTTTGAAGCCTACTTCAAACGTTTCAATCTGGCCGAAACCGAGGAGTGCCTTTATTGCATAAACGTGGATACGGTTGAACACACTCTATTTTTCTGTCCAAGATGGAACATGCAGCGGAATATAGCAGAGCAAATACTCGGTCACATAAGCCCAGACAACCTAGTAGAAAAAATGTTAGAGTCACCGACAAATTGGGACCACGTCTGCAAAATGGCAAAGCAAATACTTTCTGCCAAGAGGATAGAACGGCCAAATCTTATACAAGCTCGCTGAACGTTAGTCAATAGGAGACCGAAAGATCATAGGGAAGATCATAGGGCGCGAGAGAACATCACGCGCGTCCGGACGACACTCCATCTGAAGTAATGCTGACGCAGTTCCAGATGGAGGGCACACTGTTTTGTCGTCAAGAGAGGAAGTGTGAGTACGCTCACACTGGGTTTACACGGTCGGCTGTTGCCAACCCGTCGTCGCCAAGATAATAATAATAATAAAATAATAATAATATAATAATAATAATAACAATGATAAAAATAATAATATTAATAATAAAAATAAAAATAATGTTTATTTCCATTTACTTTTAACAAAAGTATCGGATAATGTCAAAACAATACATTGGAACACTAAAATACAAACTTTAAAAACAAATACGAACAAACATACATCAACAAAAGAAAAGAAAAAAAATACACAAAGAATGTATCACACTGAGAGATCAGCATTACTACAAAGTATTCATCGATAGAATAAAAAAAATTCTTATTCAAAATGAGTTTTAATTTTTGCTTAAATAAATGGACAGGCAATACTGTCTGACGGACAAAGACAACTTATTGGCTTACTTTGGCTAACTTATGACTTGGTACCTGCAAATTAAGATTAGCTCTGAAATTGTAATCTCCATGAATTCTGGTCATGCAATAATTAGATTACTCTTTATGTAAAAAACTTCACTAACTTTGGAGGAGTTTCCCCAGCATATAAGATAAGCCAGATTAAATATATCCGGAATAATGCAATAGTAAAAGCTGAAGATCCACATTCGACCGCAGTCGCCAAATAACAAAAGTATGCACAGCAATTTTGTTTAACACTTAGTCAATTTGGCCTGTACAGGACAAATTACTGTCTATGAACAAATGCAAATACTTGACAACGTTAGCAATAGCGATTTATCCTGCGAAAATATCATCTCAGTCTTTGTCCCGGTCAAATAAATACCGTTACGCTCACAATATGGGGTCATACCACTTACTGCCCTAGTGGCCAAGACTCATAGACTCATATAAGGAAACATAATTGTCTGGGAAATAATCAGATATATCATTAATAAATATTATAAATACTAGAGGCCCCAGTATGCTTCCCCGTGAGACACCGCTCGTAAGTTCTTTGGATGAGGATCTAATTTCGATCGAATTTTCTTGAAAAATTTAAATAATTTTTATTTGTGTACGTTTTTCTATATTATTTCACTTTTTTCATTTTTATATGTTGGAAGAGGTTAAACTTTGGCAATGACTGTTTATTTAACTAATAATAACCAGTTATTTCCAGGTCAGTAGGAGCAGATGTTCGACTCCTATGTGATGGCGATTAATTATTTTTACAAAACCGTCGTACTAACACTTCGCGTTATTAGTTAATTCCTTCCAAACATAATAGCGAAGAATTCGCGTAGTACTCGTGGAAATATTTACGGGCGTCATTCGTCGGCGAATAAAAACTGGTCGAAAAAATAATCAAGAGGTAGGAGGAAATCGTTTATTCAAAAATTCGACGCAAGGTTTCTCTTTTTTTTTAATATAATCTCGAATAAATCCGGGTCCGTTTGTTTGGAAAACGTTCCGCGAGCGTATTTACGCGTTTAGATTTATTTCGCGTATCGCCGATTTAAAACTTATTTACGAATAAATACGGAATAATTCGCCTCTATATATATATATATATATATATATATATAAATACCAACGGCTGCGTCCGATCGTAAACTTTATTAGTCTGTATACATCGCGAGCAGGAAAACGCGCAGTATTATACGGGCAGCAAACACCGCAAAGATTTATTCTTAATTATTTTTTTCGGCCGGATTTCTCCTGGGAAAATGAGAACATAATTTCGTATGTTTCGAAGAAGCCTCAAGCATAGCCCAGAGTCGAAGAATAATAATAATGAGACAACTTAACCCATATTGTCCCAAGCATGAAAAAAAAAATACTTTTTTGCTCTGAAATTATTTATATACACATTTCAAAAAAAAACTCGAAAAATACAAAAAATACTGGTGCGTAAACGAACCAGGGAGAAAAACGTTAAATAATGTTTTGGGGCACATAACATGTAACATATAATTTATACATAAACATACAAAAGAAAATTCAGATTCGACAGAAAACAACAAAAATTAGATTGTATTCCAAATAGAACCTGATTTGATACAAAAAAACGCATAATATTTTATGGTGCGGAAATCTTTTGTTCGTTGACAGTACTATACTATTTCCATGCATTCACTAGTAAACTATCCAGTGAGTTACAAAATAAAGGCCACCACCGTTTCTTTCCAAATAGCTGGCACCTGCAATTAGCAATCCCGTTGTCATGTAAATCAGCCCCACCCATAACATCTTTCCGTTCTTTTCTATTATAGTGTTTTACATTTCGGACAGGATCTACACTAGAAACTTTACTTGCCACAGTTACAACTGAATTTTCGTGGCAACGGGCAATTGAAATTTTTGATTCAGATTCATATGCTGAAAGATTGGATCCGCGGTCTTTTTCTCCAAATGACTTACAGTTTTCCATTGGAAATTTATTTGTTCTATTTTCCCGGATAGTACCGGTGGCAAAATAACCATTAGTTTTTAAATTTGCAAATAGTTTGAATGATATCTACAACAGAAAGTAGACTCATGACAACGTCACCGCCAAGACCAAGGTCAGAATGAGGGTTATTTTGAGCACCACCATATGGAAGTGAATAAAATAGGTACCCATCAGATGAACAAAGACACCAAAGCTTGAAGCCAAACCGAATTAGCTTACCCTTATAAACATTTTGCAGCAATGGCGGCCAAAGTAAGGTACCATTTGTTCATCTATGTATAAGTTGAACGAAAATACGCCAAACTGAAGTTTTTTTTTGTTTATTACATCAAAGAAAGAATTATTGTCAGATAAGTGCCAGTATAAACCATTTGAAATATCTTAAGTTATTTAATTTACGCTGTAGATCTTTAATTTTGATTAGTTGTCAAAAGTAGACCATTATTAAAACAATTTCAAACATAGATATGGTTGTTATCAAGGCAGACTTGACTAAGTTTTGCTTTATCAATTGGAATCTATTGCCGCTCATACATTTTTTTATAAGATCAATTCCTTTGTCCTCGTCAGTAGACCAATAATTCTATATTTGTGGCAATGAATGATAACCCGAGAACAATAAAATGAATCCAAAATTTAAAATCATTAATTATGCCATTCATATATTAAATTGTATTTATTTTCGTTTTCTGTCATTCCCGCAAAAATGCGCTATTTTTGGTATATAAATTAAAAACATATATACCCTTTCTATTTAAAATAAGACGGTTTGGTAGCTTAAGAAAAAAACAAAAATATGGCAACGTCGCATACGTCATTATCGGATCCAGCCTAATTAGAAATGCCGGTGTACTAAAATACATAAAATTAAGTCTAATAATTTCTTTGCGTGATGCTTGACTAGACCTGTAATAGTTTGAGGAGATCTTTAGTTGTCCTCCGGAACAGTTGATAAAATGTACCCCCGGTATAATTGCACATTTTGATTTTTTCATTGGAGCTAAGTTGATTTGCAATACAGATAGATAATGAGGGGTATTAAAAAAAAAAAGATTTGATAGAGGAACACCGACCAAATTTTCAGGTCATCTACATATCTACATCTAGTCTGCCATCCACAATGACTCACCCTGTACAGTTAATTGTGGGAGTGCCCTTGCGTGATTGCAGGTGCTTTATTTATACCATTTTCGGCCTGGATTTTGTTTCTTTTTGTAATGGTGAAATCATATTTTAAATAGAATAATTGATAACGGAAAAAAATTGAATGAGGATAAAACTCACTCTTTAGTGTTTTCAACAAATGTAACTATTTCGGAAGGAAGATCTGCGAAGTGTGGTCCTGGAGGGTAGGCTCTCTTCGAAGTGGTCTATTGCGTATTTAGTAAAGCGTCTCTCAATTGTTAACTATTTGTTATGCCGATTGAAAAAATTAATATCGGAAAGGAATACCTAGTCTCTAGTTACTATGATTTTTTTCATTCAATTTTGTCATATGCTGTTATACTGTGGGGAAATTACATAAAAAATTTTCGTACGCAAAAAGGAGTGATCAGAATTATATCCAATGCAGGATATATCGGTATACATGTATCACACGGTATTAAAAATTCTTGTCAAAAAACATGTTTTAAGTTCACTCAGACAATCATAAATACCCCACTTCCTCCTCAAATTTGAGTCGAACTAGGAAGTTTAAGCACACTAAAATCATGAAAAATTACTAAGTTTATACAACCTAATTTTAAAATTAAAATTATTTTTTTTTTTGAGTACTGTTTTTACTCTGTAGAGGAGTACAAACAGAAGATTAAAGATATTACCTGATTACCCGATTCTTGATAGTGGTCACTGTTTGATTGTGTTTGGAACCTTCCATTTTTTTCATTCCTGTTTGTTTTTTTAACAATTAACAACGCGACAATTCAGGGGGCGGAGCCACCTCCCCCCACGCACCAGCAGCACCGTTACCATCTCCGGCGCAGAGTATAAATACCGCACGCACCGCCGAGAACCTCCCAGTGTTCGAAGTGTTTTCGGAGCGCGAGCATTGAAGATGCCAAGTGAGATTTTGGCGAAACGTATGCAGGATTCCAGTCGGATGCAGGATTTGCAGGATTCCAGTCGGAGTTCGGAGTTCAACGAGCGAACGGATGATATCCCGGAATATAGTGTCATCATATATATATATATATATATATATATATATATATATATATATATATATATATATATATATATATATATATATATATATATATATATATATATATATATATATATATATATATATATATATATATATATATATATATATATATATATATATATATATATATATATATATATATATATATATATATATATATATATATATATATATATATATATATATATATATATATATATATATATATATATATATATATATATATATATATATATATATATATATATATATATATATATATATATATATATATATATATATATATATATATATATATATATATATATATATATATATATATATATATATATAGAAATTCAAAGAGAAGAAGAGATTTTCAACATGAAATTTAATCAAAATGTGTCTGATTCTATTTCACGGTACAATGATGTTAAAAAAAAATGTTAAGTCCATTGTTAAGTTACAATGAAGTTGAAAACCATTATAGAAGATTCAATTCAATTAAAATGAATGAAATAATCTTATCGGAAAGTCTTGAGTTTCAAATTACGTTGTCTATAAAAATTTTCAAGTTTGAAGATTTATTTTTTAAATAATACATATCTGTATCTCTATTTTATAGTTGTCTGGGTAATTTTTTCTAATGTGTTTTGTATTTCCTGCTTAATTAATTAAAATGGTTAAAAAGTTGTTTAAAAAACATAAATTGAGTTTTGAGGCTCCCGAGTATACTAGAAGCCTACTACCAAAATAACCCAAAAATGAAAAACTGAACACTCAAAATGTTAATTCAACCAGTTCCGTATTATCTATTTTTAATCCAAGAATCGTTCATTTAGAAAGAGTAAGACTGGGTAACAGAGAATTTCTAATAATTGTGGTTTTAATTATCAGTGACTATAAACTTTTGGTCTGCCTTCGAAACACTTCTATTACCGACGTCCTGTAGAATTCATTGTGTTTTATACTCACAATAGCCTCGAGAATGTACTTGAGAGAAATTTGAACGTCATCGACTACTTGAAGTGAGTCTATTTGAAAAACAGGATTTTAAAATATAATATTGTTTTGCTTGATATTATTGTACTTTGAATTTGGGAAATATCGTGAAGTTATTTTGTTTCAAATGTGAATGTGGAATTATCAGTGTTTTCGTCACATTTTAATACTTTGATTAGATTTATGTTGTTCCGCGTAATGACTATTACTATGGTCCTCCAGAACATTGAGTATCCGATCCTCCGTCCAATTGCGGAAGAGCTGTTGCCTATTTGTCCCTTGCGCAGTTTTAATGAGTTTTCCATTTTTACTGTTTCTAAATTCGTTTAAACGTATTATTTATATGCAATAGGTGGGGAGGGTTATCAATTTCGAAGGCAAATGAAAAAAAATTGTATCTAATAATAAATTATTATCACCCACGGGTAGTTAAGATTGAATATTTGATTATTTCCCGACATTGTAAATAATACTTTAACTAGTCGAGAATATATACGCAAAATTATTTTGTTGAAAATAAAACACTTACCGGATACCGTTGCCTGTCAAATGAGCTCACCTGAAACAAGTAAAAATTGTAAATTAACATATGATGTGCCGATTATGCAGCTTTAGCTGTAAAAAATCCGAAATACCTTACAAAATGCTATCAATCAACACATATTGGCATACAAATCACACGTCGTTAGGTAGATTATGATAAATATTTGCTATATTCGCTATTGAGAGGTGATATTTAAGATACTCCGTCAATACCAGCAGAAAAATAGATATATTATTAACAATACAACGATAGAGTGTGTCACAAAAGTTAGGGACCTTGGAGTCATCTTTGATAGTAAACTGACCTTTTTGGATCAGCTGGAGGATATTGTTAACAAGGGCATGAGAGGTCTGGGTTTTATTACCCGTAATAGTACACTGCTCTCATCCGACTGTTTTAAAACCCTTTATTGCTCCTTAGTTAGTATGCATGCATGTATGGAGTATGCATCAGTAGCGTGGTCTCCACGTTACAGATGTCAAATTGATAGATTGGAGACTGTTCAGAGGGCATTTCTGAGGCCCCTAGCATATAGAGCGGGTTTAAATATCTACAACAATTTTCACATTAATTATTTTCTGGTATGTGAGCCCTTTGGGATAGCTAGTCTGGAAATTAGAAGAACCCACTCCGATATCTTGACGTTTTATAAAATTTTGAACGGTGTATATAACTGTTCGGCTCTCCTCCAGTCCATTGATTTTAACATCTATCAAAGACGTCAGAGCTCCCCAATGTTTTGTATTCCATTTCATCACGCCAACTATTCTCCTTTCACTCGAACCTTGAGGTTATTTAACAGTTGCTCTCTTGATCCCTTTGCTGGCGGTCTTCGACTATTTAAGACAAAATTAAAACAGGTGGTTAATTGTAGTTGTGTGATATTGTTTGTTTATTGTTTCTTACTGTTTTTTTTGTTTCTATATGTTTTATATGGTTATTTAAAAAACTTGTTATTTAAGTTGTTGTTTTGTCATGTTGCTATTTATATTTATATTATATTTATATTGTTACTTTTTCTTTGTAATTTGGCTCAGCCGTTGAAATGAATAAATATAGCAGTAAGTGACTATTTTAACAATATCATTTTTATAAGTCACATCACAGACTTGCAATTTTATTTGAATTCACACATAGCAGAGCTCCGTGACTTAGATAAGTGAACTGGAGAACTGGAAGCTTCTTTAGTCTTACTTTCGCTTTGGTACATATATACCTGCTGGTATTAAAATTGATATATCGAGTTCTGGGTTAGGGGCCGGGTATCTCGTATATGTTTTATCTAGGATAGAGAAAAAAATAGGAACATTGATTTTCACAAACATTGGATGAAGAATTTCCTTAAAACTTAGATGCTGCAGAGATAGATAAGACAAGGAAGATCAAATCATTTTGGGATCATCAACGTAGAAAACGTAGTATCTAAATTTAACATTTGCTACACAGGGCCAAACGTATAAAATAAAATAAATAACAATGAAAAAACAATTTCTGAATTGTATATATTGAAGATCAAACCCAATTAAAGAGGTTTGCCGTTTAGTCGATATTGATTTTAAATAATTTTAAATTATTCCTATTCATGTGTTTCGCGTCTTTTAATGATATTTGTGTTATAATTTTTTGTGAACATTATCGAGGAATATATGTAAAGACAAGGAAAATTTACATTGTATTTTTCAAACTATTCTTTACAATATTCTGAGCTCTTATACTGCCCATTAATCTCATGGCATTTTTTTGTTGAATAACAATTCGCAATTGTTCTGTTCCGCTTCTTCCTTGATGTTTAACATTATTTTTTCACCAACAATACACGTGCTCATTTAAGTTATTACAAATCGAATATGGCTGTACTTAAACACTGATGCCATTCAGCTTTTCAAAATTTAGTCATAATAATTCAAAAAATTTAGCCTAGTAATCGCTGAGATTAACGATCAAAATAAATAAGAACTAAAAGTTCAGGCCCGTTTCTTTATCAAATTTGTTTGATAAAGACACGGCGAAACAATTGTCATGTAAAAATATATAATTTCATGAAAATCTGAACTTTTAGTAATGTATACAAAAACCGGAACCACCAATAACTCTCCTTAAGAACTATTTTTTCAACATTCAACAACAACAACAACAACAAATTCACCATTTATTTAATTATGTTATCTATTTAGGGGATACTGTTGTGGATTTATGTAAATTCTGTCACAAAGAGCACAAATAAAAATATAAATGATAGGATTTCCCTTTGGAAATAAAATAAAATAAAATAAAGGTCATGGGTTCATTTTGAAATTGCCAAAAGGCAACAGAGATGAAACCCCAAAAGTTTTATACATAAATGCTTATAATTTTTTTTCTATCGCTTATACCTAAAAACGTATGTGCTTCTTTGCTAATTAATGCTTATCTGTCTCGCCAAGATATTTACCATTTTTTATCTCTAATTCTATTATTCCCTTCATAACCACCTCACATGGTTCCCTAAAGATGTCTGTTACCGATAGACTTTTGGATCGACTTTACATTTTTTACTATACTTTTTTTTCTTTGCCTTCTCTATTTATAAGATTTACATTGGACTCGCTTTTAAAATTCAATATTATATTTGTTTCATAAGGAGAATAAATAAAGAAATTAATTATAGTATTATATCTTGGAGTTAAGGAATAAAGTTCTACTAAATGAACACAAAATATACAATGTGTTCCGTTTTGGGAAAGTTTATGCGAAGGGGTTTATTATGACATGCCTAAAGGCCACGGAGATGAAACCTCAAAAGTTTATATATATATATATATATATATATATATATATATATATATATATATATATATATATATATATATATATATATATATATATATATATATATATATATATATATATATATATATATATATACATAAACTACTTATTTTTTCTATTCCTTTTAATATCTAATAACGTATGTACTTTTTTCTAACGTTTTACTGTCTCGCAGAGTTATTTTCAACTTTTTTACTCTAGTTCTATTATTCACTTGAGAACCAAGTCACTATAGTATACAATATTCAATTTTTTTTGCAAACAAAGTTTTTGGAAGCTTCATTTTAATACAGTGGTTAAATTTTGTTTATTCTTAAAAGGACACTGTTTTGGACTTATGGAGTTTGTGTGGAAAAATCATAAATAAATAAATGATATTATTACGTTTTAGATATAGGGAAAGAAAGCTTTGTTTTGACATTGCCAAAAGGCAACAGAGTTGAAAGTCCAAAAGTTTTATATATAAAAGTTTATAAACTACTTTTTCTCTATCATTGGCACCTAATACTTGTGTTCTTACTGCCTAGCTGAGATATTTAAAACTATTTTTCTTTGATATTATTATTCCCGTCAGAACCATTCTTTAAAGAAGGCTCTTACCGGTAGACTTTTGGATCGACTTTACTTTTTTTAAAATACTATTTTATGTTTTTTTTTATACTAAATTCAATTTCTTTATAAATAACGTTTTCTCTAGCTATATTTTAATACAGTAGTTAAATTTTGTTTATTCTATTGTGGACGTATGCAGTATCTGTGGGAAAGAGCATAAATAAATAAATGATATTATTGCGCTTTAGATATAAGAAGAAAAGTCACGTGACGAGGTTTGTTTTGACATTGCCAAAAGGCAACAGAATTGAAACAACATTTTTTTTATAAAAGTATATAAACTACCTTTTGTCTGTCACTCGTACCTAATAGCTTATATACAGGGTGGCCCGGTTAAGAGGGGCCTATACCTTATTTCGAAATCTACTGGGGTTACAAAAAAAATTGAATTGAATGAATTGAAATGACCCTTATTTTTTTATTTTCCTAAGCGTCACTTTACTACATACAAGGTGGTAAAACAAAATTACATTTTTTTGAATAGACGACCCTACAATTTATTGCATTTTTGGATAGTTCTTTCAAGGACAAATTCAACGATCTATATAACAATTCAGGTTATGTTTAAACCATCATTGCTGGGTTGCTTATTAACTTTTTAAACTTTTGTCCATGTATTATTTTTACGAACAGAATGCTTTTCTGTAGGTGATGATCAATATTTTTCAATTTAATTATTTTACTTGTAAATAATATGAAATTATTAGTGTTAATTTTTTGTAATCCTTTGACGTTGACATTTAAACGTAGAAATGAGTAATTTGCGAAATTTGGCAACATGGTGCAAAGCGTAATATTCTGTTTTTTATATGACTTTTTAAGAATGCTCTAAAACGGTTGTGAACAAGTTGATAAAGAGCTATACCCAGTTTTTAATTTTATCTGCCAATTAAGCCAGAACGATAAGTCAGAGACCCGTAATGTGCTATATAATTGAAATTGCTATTAAAGTGGCTATTATATTAATAATATACAGGGTGTCTCATTTAAGAAAATTGAGAAAAGTATCATTTTGCGGAATGTTTCAACACAGTGTATTTTAAGAAAATATTTTAAATTTGATCATTGCCTAAAGAAAAGCATTATTTTTGTAAAAATAATAGATGAAAAAAAGTTTAAAAAGTTAGCAACCTGCCCAGCAGTGATGCTTTAAACATAATCCGAATTCTGAAGATGATCGCTAATAAGTTCAAAACGGTGCATCAACAAAGACCCATACTCATATATATCGTTGAATTTGTCTATGAAAGGACTATCCAAAAATGTAACGTTGTTTTAACACACTCTATATAAAAAAGTGACTATAAGGAAAATAAAAAAAAAGTCGTTTTAAACTATTGTATTTTACATTTTTTTGTAACCACCGTAGGTCCCGAGATAAGGTATAACCCCCTCCTAAACGCTCTACCCTGTACTTACTGCCTCGCTGAGATATTTACCACTTCTTTCTCTCCGTCTTTCCGTCAGAACCATCCCACGTGGTTCCTTAAAGAATGCTCTTACCGTTGGGCTTTTGGATTGATTTCACATTTTTTAAAATATTGTGTTTTCACTGTCTGATCGCATTACACTAAAATTTTATGTCCTGACCTTGT